AAAAAAAAAAAAAAAAAAAAAAAAAAAAAAAAAAAAAAAAAAAAAAAAAAAAAAAAAAAAAAAAAAAAATTTCTCATAAAAATCACTCTATGAACTTGGTTCTTAACCTAGCTAAGCGACACTATTTTTCGAAAAGAAAACCGCGTAGGAATTAATTAGAATCGTTACCTTCATAATATCGTTTTTACAAACCCCACCTTATCAATTTTAAGTATCTTTATTTGGTGTTCGACCATGCTAAAACCTAAGCATGGCTCCTAAATGTAGGCAACCGATTATTTAATTAATGCGCTGATCTGTATATTACTAGGAGAAAAGCTGTCAACATTTTTAGTAGCAGCAGTTTTGAAACAAAAGACTAAAGATAAACGGTTGGAGCTGATTGTGCTATTGTAGCCGTTCAACACTTAGATGGTTGACAATTTTAATTATAGCACTAGTTGCGCTACTTATTTCTCTAATCGATATATTTTATACATATTGAGGGGTATCATGCACTAACTTTTTAGGAAGGGGTAAACCATGGACTATTTTCCTTTTTTTCTACCATTTGATTCTGAAGTGAAATTTGAAGACTACTGCAATAAGTTTTCTTCTGTTAACATATGTATCTTATATTTTTTCTAATGCTAAAACATCATGCTGTTTGTTAGAAAATAAAATGATTTGCATGTGATGTTCTGATTACAACATACATCCCATTCCGTTATGAGATTCTCCTTAATAATTCAATGAAAATAAGCATTCCAAAGGATTACAAAGTTCTCCAAGAAACACAAACTTTGAAAACGCAGTTATATTGACTTTTCAAAATTGAAGAACTTTACAAACCGCTTTCTAAAAATTCCGTTCTCAAGATATTGGTTACATGGTGTGGAAGAATAATTAAATATTAAAATTGAAATCAAATAATTTTTTTTTTAAGCATATACACAATTTTTAAAAACTTTAAGTGGATTTAAGTGAATAAAGAAAAATATTTGCTTGTAATTAAAACTATTTTTAAATAGAATATTTTGCCTTTTAAAATAATAAAGGAAGTAAGAATCCAATCTAGTCATTTTTAGAAGAGAAATGGACTTGAAAAGAAGTTTGAACAAACTTAACTTCACATGGTTCGAGCCATGCTGCAAGTAAAATTCTGTGAATTTAAAATTCGATAGCAAATAAATGAAGCAAAAATAGTCAGAACAACAGGAACAGCAGTAAGCCCTTTTTGCCTTTATGTCTTCATGTCACAAATAGCAATTTTCGCTCGCCAATTTATTGCATGAAAACTGCTTCACGCTTGACTGCGCTGTCACAAGCCAATAAACAAACTTATTTATGAATAAAGTCAATATAAAACAGTTATAAAAGAGTGTACTCAAATATTTACAGAAACAAAGAGGCTTGTTGCACACACATACACTTATATACACAAGCATATAATAAAGTAATTCAGTCAGTCAGCAGTGCATGCACAAATTTGTAAAAAAAAAAAAACTTTTGTGTAATTCGAATACAATTGTACTTGCAACAAATAACGCTGATACATAGTGATTTCGTTAGAAGCGTTAGCCGTTGTAGCATGCCGCAGTGACACACGAGTGCAAAGCAAAAAATAGAGTAGACTAAACAAAAACTCGTTAGTCCATTTCGGGCAACAATTGGCAGACGTCTGGGTACAAGGTTTCCATTACAGAAACTTTTCACGTCAAAGTGCGGCGCCACAAATCTAAAAAGTAAATACGTGTACTTACTTAATATGCATAGTAATTATTGAATGGAAAATACCGAGAAAGCACCAAACAAACTTTTCACTAAATTCGTTGTGGCGCGTTTGATATTCATGCCGCATGAGCGGAATTGGGGCACAACACGATATTACGTAGGTATATTATGTGAGTGGTGGAGAGCAACGGAGTTATTTGCATTTTCGCAAGAGTATAAATTGGAGCTTGTAGGAGGTGGTTACTAGTAATTACATATACATAAATAAGAGCTCTTATTTAATCAACTCACATATATATTCACATATTTGACTGCAGGTAAGTTGTGCCACCGTTTGTGGCAGACTTCATCGACAATTCATGGGTAATGGGTATTTAATATTTGAGCTCATTTCAAAAGGTCTTAGTTACAAAAACGCTGTAGACCTAAAGGCAGCAGCGCTGGTGACAGCTCCATAGTCTATAAATGGAAGCATAAATCACAGCGCACGTTGTCAATTATGGGATTACTGCATGGCACGCCCGAAGGTGAATGGAAGATATGTAAATAAATTATAAATAAATATTAAGATGGAAAGTATAATTGAGTAAGTACCGGAAAAGTGAAGATGGTGATTGTTCCTGCTTGTGAATATAGAATGGAAATTCAGTGGATAACAAGTAGTAAAAACCTACAGGAACTAAACTAAAAGTTATCTTGTCAAAATCATTCACAATATCAAGCTTATATGACTAAAATAAAAATAAATTTCTTTTTAAAATCATTTATGTAGTTGGTTTTTGACTATGCTAAAATCTAAATATGGCTCCTAAATGTAGACAACGTTTTATTTTGTTAATGCAGTGATCTGTATGTTCCTAGGTGGAAAATTGTACACATTTGTGACAGTCTCATATCTTTAAGAATTTGTAAAAATATGAAACAGAGCTTAATTTACATAATTAAAGAAACGGTAATTTCGAGACTAAAGCTGTTTAGGAACTAACATAAAAAAAAAAAATCATTACCGTCACGATATCAATTTTATATATCCCACTAGGGTATCCTTCATTAATACCCTCAATTATGTTTTTTAGTTTAAGTTATCGACTTATGTAATTGTAATTTAATTATTTTAGAATTCTAATTTGCATCCTAATTCTCCATTAGTCTGTAAGAATTAATGCTCATAGACTAAAGAACTAAATAAATAAATATAACTTTTTGGGTAACTCTCGTAACTAAAGATACTGTTTTTCAAATCTGTCTTCTTTCTAAATATAGCTCCTAAATGTAGGCAACAGTTTAATATATTAATACACTGATCTATACATTCAATAAAATATATAGTTATATGAATCAGAATTTAGTTTTATTTATATAATTTAAGAGACCTTAATATTTTGAAACCAAAACCGCACAGAAACTAAATTAAAGATGATCGTAACAAATTCTGTCACAATATTAATTTTATATGCCCCACTAATCATTATGTATTCAAAATCTTTCGATTTGGTGTTTGACTTAGCTAAAAACTTAGGTTGTCTCCCAAATGTTGACCTGAAGGAACACTGTCAACATTTGCGACTGTAAAAAAATTTAACAATATAAGATACAAATAATCAGTATTTAGTTTAGTTAACATAATAGATAGACGATATTTTGAAACAAAAACCGGGCAACTACGTTAAAGTGGATCATAACAAAATCTTTCCATTTGGTGTTTGACTTAGCTAAAATAAAAACATGGCTCCCAAAAGTACTTTATTACTACAGTGAATTACGAGCGCTATTTGTGTTGTTCGTAACTTTCGAAGTGGATTAACCCAGCAGAGTTGCATTGAAGAACTTGATTAAATTTTTGGCGACGAAACTCCATCAAGTTCCAGTAATTATAGATGGTGTGGTGAATTTCATTAAGGTCATCTAAAATTAGTTATTATTCTGCAAAATATTGATGCTGTGGGCTAACTGATAATGCAAGACCGTAATGTGATATATCGATAGATTGCGACAATTGTAGGCTTTAGTGCGACCAGCATACCTTCAGTACTGCATGAACATTTTACGATAAAAAAATTGGTAACAATGGATTCCACATTATTTATCGATCGCTCAAAAAACCTAGTGCCGATCAATGGAGAGAAATTGTAATCAAATTGCCACAACTTAATAAATTTTCCAACGAACTCAACTCAAAACCCGTTCTACTGATTTTAAGTTTTTAATTAATATCCTCACATTACCTTAACTGTACATGATAATGGAGAGCATTAAGGTAGTACAAAAGTAAAATTTAAGTAAAAGTGAGCGACAAAGGGACGAGTCATACAAATACGAGAATTTTTATTGCTTCATAAACTTTTAAGACGTCTTTTTTCTCCGTCAATCAGGCAGTTTGCGCAATATTTTATAGGTGAATGCGCCTTTTGTTTTATTTTGCCGACAACAACAACTTCAATATAGCGCCGAAGAAAAAGTCACACGAAAAATTCGATGCGTCACTCATAATTTGTTTATGGGTATCGTAAAAAATTGAAGAAGAAAGCACATAAATAAAAACGGAAAATGGGAGGGCAATTTTTTCCCAAAAAAAAAAAAAAAAAAAAAAAAAAAAAAAAAAAAAAAAAAAAAAAAAAAAAAAAAAAAAAAAAAAAAAAAAAAAAAAACAAATTAAGGAATTATGGTAATGTGATGCCGTACGTCGAGCGCAAGTGGTGGAGAAGTGAGCAGCAAGAGACTATATAGTGTGTGTGTGTGTGTTTGCATGCGCCTGGCCTTCATAGTTTTCAATAACAACCGAGAGCAGGTTCAGGCGCACCGACGCCTATCAGACGCTATATGAGTGCTTAAGCGTGTATTTCAACTTATCGAAGTGTGTGCATGTGCGTGCAGATGTGTAATGGGACACCAAGGAAACGGTCGAGCATTAAAATTATGATTATTTTGCCTGAACAATCTTTAAATATTCATATTTCGGTGATTATATATGTAAGTACGTATAGTATGTAAGTAATCATGCAATTAAGAAATGAAGAGAGCAAACGCAATGAATGCATATGTCAGCGGAGATGACAAGTGGAGGTGCGACAAAAGTAAGCCCAATAGTGACAGAGGATTTTCGTTAATTAACGGTGTACTTTACAAAAAGGTCGAGGTACGAGAAAAGCGAGGATCCTTGCTAACGTTCTGTCATATTAAGGATGGACAATTTTTTACTAGATTTTTTATAGTTTCCTTGAAGAACTTTAATAGGTTATAATTTTTCGGTAATTTTTTCATTAAAAGACAATTTTTAAAGTACATACCTCATCAAAATTGTTGTTGTTGTTGTATCTGCAAATAAAAATAATAATAATTATTAGTGAGCATTTAAAAATAAAAAAATATGCAAAATATACAAATGTTTAACAAAAATGTACAAATTTGGTCTGAAAATGTCAAAGGCACGCTTTCGTATTTGAACGAAAATTCACAACCGACAATCAAGATATAAAGATATTTTCATATAATTTGACTAAATATTGTTTTTTTTTTTTTTTGGGCAACAGTTTCTAATTATTTTGCAATTTTAAGTAATTTTCTGGCGTTGTTTCTGCAACTACATTTCTTAATTGTTTGTTCGAGAAAAAGTTTTCTGACAATTGACAAGTGACCACTGACAACTTACAACTGAGAGTACCAATTTGTCCAACTTACTGGTTTCTCAAAATCATATATATGATTTCTAACATTCTACATACATTCTATTCTACCATATGTTTGATTACCATATATGATTACGAGACATTTCAAAACTTCGAGTAATGCTTTATTTTCGAACAAAGTTGTCCTACATCGATAAAATATCGAAAAATTCTAATTATTCTGTTTCATTTCTTTGTTTCTAAGTACCAACTACATTTCACAATACTTTCATTCGAGAAACACTTTACTGACAAGTGACTGCTGACAATTGACAGTCTCAATTTAATACTTTTAACGACTTTTCGCAGCGACAGACAACAGATTTCGAAAATACATATTACAATTTAGAATATGCAATGATTTTATGATTATGATTCGAATAAATCTATAGTTACTATTCAAAACTTCGAGTGTAGCTTTGTTGTCAACATACATATGTAGTTGCCACACATCGAAAAAATATCGAAATGCATGGTAAACGCAATTAGTTAAAAAATTTAAAATTAAAGGAACTAAATAGAAATATTCAGCAAATCTTATATTCAAATAAATTTTGTAATAGAGTTGCCACCTTTTCATAATAGTAAAACTAGCAAAAGAGTTTAAAAAAAATTTAAAAACGAAGAGCGCTTTAAAAAAATTGCGTATGTTTTACAGGTAACAATTTTTTGGAACATAGTTGCCACACTTTAATAAAAATAAAACTAACAAAAATACTACAAAACCAGTGCAAGTTGCAGTGAAGTTTAAAAATTATTCTGAAAGTCTTGAAATAAAAATTTTTGAAGTGGAGTTGCCACCTACCGTCAACAGCAAATTTGTCTGCAAATTTTAGTTAAAAAGGTCGAAATATATGGCAAGGGTAATTGAAAAAAAAAAATCACAATAAAATATCTGTAAAGTCTTGCATTTTATTACAGAGTTGCCAACTTTCCGTGATAGTTAAATCAGCAAAATATTTTTAAATAGAGATATAAATATATATACATATACAAAGAGACAGAGGAAACTTAAAAGTCATGTCAGAAGTATTCAATGTCTTCTATGTACATTTTTTTTGAATAGAGTTGCCACCTAACTTTAAGAACAAACCTTAGCAATTTTTTTCGAAAATTATGTCAAACATTGTGCTTGAATACACAAAATTAATAAATTTCTAGAAGGAAAATTTTAAAAGTAAACAATTTTATAGTACCTACATTCGGTATATATAATACCGGTATATCTCTAGCACCAGGTTCTAACCTTTAAATTGAGACTACTGATTCCGAAATTCGGTAGTAAATAATAATAATTTCGACTCGTTGTTGTATCGTATATCTTTCTGTTATGAAATGGCAAACTTTACTGAGAAAAAAGGCAAAAGAGCGGGAAAAAATATGCCGTCTTTTGCTTCCCTATCGGCGTAGTTTAGTAGCGTTCCTATTGAAAACCGCGTTAGTTACAGCTGATCAATCAGAGCGGTCACTAATAAAGTCGGAAATTGTATGTAGAATCAATTTTATAAATTGAAAATTTAGTAGTACAATAGTCATGAAGAGAGGTCTTTCATGAGAACAGCCTTGTGAATTACCACGTCCTTTTGATAAACAAATATAATTTCAAATTCTAATATATAAATAATAATTGAAAAGAACACAAAAATCTATTTAATCTATGTATCACTTAAAATGAAAAGTAAAAACACACCAGAGCGCAAGAGTGCGCCACATTAACGCCTCTTTAATGACACAATTTCATAATGCATAATTAAAATAACCGATTCCCCTCAAAAGAAGGAACAATGTCAATGTCATAAGGTATAAGCATGAATGTGAAAGCGTAATCAACCTTATTTGCTGCGCTCATTCCCATCGGACACTTGTAAGCCAACACTCAAGGCAGAGTTACTCACCCAAACAAGACACAAAACGAAATAAAACTTACACAAAAACAAGAAGAACAGACAAAGTTACAGCATTACAATAATTAACTGAATGTAAACAATGAGAACTTTATGGCGCTGACATTACAGCAAAATGCGTAGGGGAAATGACAAGAGCCCTTTCCAAGGGCTACAAAATGGGGCAAGGACTATTGTGTTGCCCGACAAAGCACATACAAACATGTGCACATACATATTACTTGTCATTTTTTATTTTTACGACCGCGACTTACATGAGGCGGGAAATTTGAGCACAAAGGAAGGCTGAAGCCAAAAATTGCTTGAGGAAAGAACAAGCATGAAAATAAAGCGGTCTAAAATACGAATAAAAAAAAAATATATAAAAAAAAAATAAAAGGCCGTTAAATCATATAAAAAGCATAAAAAATTATATATATATAATTCATAAGGTATATAACTCAGCGCTCTTTAAAGTATTATATATTATTATTATGGCAGGACTACTTAAAGGATTTCATTTTTATGTTGAGGTCTCAAATTTATTATTATTTTTTTCATTTTAAACACATATAAATATGTACAAATGTGTGTGGTAAGAACTGCTGTGTCTCTGGTAACTTTCACTTAAATTTTTTTGCTTCTTTTGTACGCTAAGTGAGCGTTGAAAATTGAAATTACGCCCATATTTGAATTTGGTCTGCTTGTATGTGAGTTTGTTGCATGTTGACGGCATTTAGGGGCACACGCGTCAGCTAACAGTCGCACATTGTCTGTGACTAGAAGAGCGAGCATTTTATTGTATGCAATGAGTGGTGAATGGTGTGCGGTGTGCGGCGCCACATCAAACGAGTGACCAAAATGTGGTTAAGAACGGACACAGGAGTTTGTTTTGCTGTATCTGTGGCAAATTCGTGACATATTCAAATTAGCAGAAGAAGAAAATCGTATCTGCATAAATACATAATTTGGTGTATGAAAATAAGTATGTGGACAGAAATATACTAAATTTTGGAGTTATTATTGAGATTACTTGCCAGTTGAGCCAGCAAAGAACTCAAAGAATACATAAAATTGTCTCACAAAACAAAAAAATCAACAAAACTCCAGTTTAGTATTTCTCTCATGAATTATAAGGGGTTTACTGTGTAACGAAAAATTTTGAACTATTTAAAAGTCGCTTCTGTCGCCTTTGAGAGAGATAAGACTTTTTGCAGGACCATAAGACTCGGAAGTTCAGTTTCAATGATTACATTATAATGGGACCGTTTCACAGTCGACATGAACTTATTATATAATCATAAACTCGAGTTTAAATAGTAAACCTGAGTATGAATACTGTAGTTTTCAATTTAGATTAGATTTTTGATAAGATTATTATAAATCATCGATAAATGAATTGAAAAATTGAACGCCCACTCATAGCTAAATATGATAAGAAATGAGTCTACAAAATATAGTGACGGCTTTCAAGCTACCGCACAATCTTACTGAAAGATCGAACGTTCTTCATGTATATTGTGCTACGCTAATAGACTTTTTCATAGCAGAGAAGAGGAGTAAGGCATTTTCAAAAGACTATCCGCCAAATCATTTGCAGCAACTTGGACTCACTTATGAAACGACTTGGCACATTTTACGTCGAGATTTTTAATTAAAAGCGTACAAAATACAGTTTGTGCAAGAACTCAAGCCGCTCGACCTTCCCAAGCGACACCGCTTCGTTTTATATCTTGAAAAGTTCTAAGAATATCCAAGGATTTCGAGTCGAAGTTTGTTCAGTGACGGGCTTCTTTCTGGCTCAACATATATCTAAACAATCGAAATTGCCATATTTGGGACAAGTAGCAAACTTGAGAGATACAAGAGCTGTACTTTCATCTAAAAACCCCCAACAACGGTTTAGCGGGCTTTGTGGGCCGGTGGAATCATCGGTCCACGTTTCTTCAAAAACGATGATGGTGAGAACGTAACCGTCAATGGCGACTGTTATCACGCCACGATAATCGACTATGTGATAAAAAAAATTGACCTCGGCAATATTTAATTTCAAAAAGAAGGTGCCACTTCCCACTCATCGCATCAATCAGTGGATCGCGGTAAGAGATCACTTCGGAGAGCAGAAAATTTCACGTTTTGGGTCGGTCAATTGGTCACCAAGACCGTATGATATCACACCGTTAGACTTTCTCCTGTGGTGATATGTAAAGTTTAAAGTCTATGGGGATAATCCTGCTTCGATTCTGGTCTTCATTCGTCAGTTACCAGTTAAAATGCTCGAAGGAGTTATCGCAAATTGGACTCAACGGTTGGACTATCTGAAACGTAGTGGTGGTCAACATTTGAAAGATATAGTCTTCAAAAAGTAAATGTTAAAGAATGTTCTTTCGAAGGCAAATAAACATTCTCCATTAAATTGGAAGTTTCTGTAAAGTAGAAAATCTCGAAGTGGATCATCCTTTATTTGTAATATTTTAAGGAATTACGCAAAAGTGTGAACCATTGCACTTACAAGGAGTTTCAGAAATTTATAATGCATATTTGTAAGGAAGATTATATTCTGAAAACTGCCTGTGCCTCATTTCAATTTAGTTTCTTTTCTTTATAAAAAATCTACGTAAGTTTATCTCGCACTTCAAAGGATTTTCAAGCGAATTCTCCATTGCTTTCGTCCTCTTAAAAGCGTAATTCTTTCGCATATGTAATCAACTGAAAAACCCATAATATAAGTGTCTGTTAAATTCGTAAATAGAAAACACAAAAGCTA